AATATAATGTTGACAACACATAACGACTCTATCTTTTATATACAAGAACATCTTTCAACTGTTTTGTAAAGAAATAAGAAATAAATATTTTACTGCAAATATTTTAACAGAAGAAAAAAGTAGTTCATCTGAATTTTGGCATCATTTGAGTAAAGGTCAAAGTCTTTTTTTATTTTATTTCACAACTTTGCAGTTGCATTGTGTATTTGGAGCCGTATACAAGTTAATGCAAAATGCACATACATACATCACCATCCACATATTAGTCCAACAACCTTGTTTTTGTATTATTATTTAAAGAAGAAATAAAAATCATCAGCTCGTAAGGTGAGATGAATCGACCTGCTTTGAGTCAGTTCGACTCAGAAGTTTTCTATAAACCCGTCATGGTGTTGAAACTAACCTAAAGCAAAACAAAGCAGGGGAAGCTGCTCACCTTACCAGCAGTTTAGCTTATTATAGTTTGCATTAGCAGTAGTTGCACAGAAAATCAGCAGTGTTTTTGTTTTGGTGTTTCCACAATGCATAAAAACATAAACAGGTATATCTGAAGTCAAGTAAAACCACGCAGGAACTCATATTTCTATATAAACAGTGATTACAGCATTGGATTCTGCCTAGAAAATGCATTTTTTTTCAATGTGCATAAACATAGAAATAAATTACAAATGAATACAGTTGTTTCACGTCCTCTCAAAATCTCACAGTACAGATAACTCACAATGTGATTTAGCTCTGTCAGCATCAGTGCTGTTTTATCCATGCTCTCAGTATTTATGACAAATGTGCAAAAACTCACAAACTGGATGAAAAATTGTTCAAACATTGCGACACTGCAAACATAAATAAGAAAGTTATATCTTACAAAATGTGACTTTTTACAGAGACAATATTCAACCTTAACAGAACATTAGCAGCTCTTAGCATCCTTCATGTCCCCAATGAACTTTTAAAGTTGTGGCATTTATTCTGCTGTAAATTTGAAAATTCAGAAGTGATCAGGAATAGTAGTTATTTAGCCAAATCGTATACTAGCTGACATTTTTCAATTTGTCCTGTAAGTGTTTGCCTAATGGCCGTTAGCCAGCAAGCTAGTTAAAGTCTCAATTGAACGGTTGATTTGAGCTAGCGAGCTAACTGTTGCTAATGTTTGGGTGCCGTCTATATGCAACCATGAAAAACACACATGTATTATTATATTGTTTCTGGTTTGTGAACTGGCTTTAATGCAACATTTCATGTGTGAAAATGATCTTTTAGTGCAGCTATAACCATGTTTTATGAGTTGGTTTTTGACGTTGTAGCCCACTTAACCGAACACTTTCTTCTGTGCTTTGGTGTATTTCTGCGGTGGCGTCACAGCGCCGCCCACAGGCCTGGAGTAGTTTCTACAGCATTTTGTGTGTTATTCAGAGTTTTTAGTGTGGATGAAGAAACATCTGGAAACAACTGCGTAGACAACAACCGTTTTTCGAAACATCAACAAATATAAAGATTGTTTTCATGTCGCCAAGGCCTCTATGTCTTTGAAAGTTTCCGTGGGTGGGTTTATAGATGGGTTAACTTCAACTGCAGCATAAAAATTACAAATGAAGTATGAAAATAATTTATTATTCAGAGGGAAAAAATTGAGAACTAGTAGACAACCCAGTTTTTCAGCTAAACAAGCGTTATTAAATATCAACAGTGTAACATTTATAAATGTGACATAATAGTTCAAGCATCATAGTTAGTTTTCAGTAGTAATGAGTTGCATAATCATAAGATTTTTTAATTTCTTGGAAGTATCTTTATGGTCCTGAAGATTTTGAAAGATGTGGTAGAATTACAAAAAAGTATTTATGCAAAAAAGTATTTATTTCTCTCATCATTGAGATGAAATGTGGCCAATTATTAGTTTTTGAGATCAATTTAATTTCCACACAGGATCAAGTTAGTTTGGCTCTTTATTCCCTTACTAAATGAAATCATTATTTGGAAACTCGGTTGATTTTTTTTCTTGATATTGAAATCTAATGGATGATCTTGTATATAAAGGAAGCACATTTGTTCATGTTCCGATGGGAATTAATTTAAAGGGACAAATTATTTTCAAAAAATCAAACACTAAGTGAGGATTTAATAAAAAGTCAACTATCAAATATTCAGCAAATGTGCAAATAAAATCCTGACTTCAGTTTTCAATCATACAGTAAAAGCTGGTTGCAGCAAAATTGTTACAAAGAAGTTCAGTCCATAGTGCAGAGTTTATAATATCTGAGCTGGTCTGCGGCTTTTTTTCAGCCTGAAATCACAAACAAATAATAATTTTTAAAAATCAGTTATTATTGCTTCTTTTTTTTTTTTTTTTTTGCTCATTTTTTATAACTTCAAACTCCCTGATTTTGGATGCAGCTTATTTGAAAATCAACAATAAGCTGGAATGAAGCTTCAGCAGGTCTGCTGCTCATTAAAGGAGACCTATTATACATTTTTAGACTTACACCAACCGCTAAAAAGCCATTTTCTGATAAGAAGATCACATGTTTTGGTATTTGGCAAAAGAGCCACATTGCTCCAAGTGGAGCTCCAGAGCGATTGGTTTGCTGGTTTTACCCATAAAACTACCCTAAACTGTTCAAGGAAGCATAATAGGTCACCTTTAAGCTACAACTAAATCAGACGGTCAAGCGATTTCAAAAACGTTTTTTGAAAGAAATGCTACAAAGAAGACTCAGTAATATATCAGCAAACAAGCAGGTTAAAGTTTTAAATCAGTGCAGAAATCGGAAGTTCATTTTTTTCTTTTTTCTTTTTAAAAAAAAAAGTCATTTTGTGCTCTTCGTTGACTGTCATAAAAAGGTTTGACATCTCGGTTTAAAAATGAACGGAGAGGGTTTTCTCTTCGGAGACAAAGAAGGAAGCCGTGCAGCATCGTGAGAGGAGGTGAAGAGGAGCTCCTCTCCATTAAAGCTGCGGTAATTAAAATTAAATGTGGAGCTCCCGCCACAGATGGAGGTTTCCTGACAGCAGAGAGGGGCTTTCTGCTTGGTGACGACGGAGCGCCAGACAGGATTAAAGTCAATAAATCCCCTGGAACGAAACGTATCCCTGGTGTTTGAATAATCCACATTTATCGTCACGTGCATCTTGTTGCCTTAATCAATGAAAATTTGGAACTTTTTTGGGAAACATGATCAACAATGTAGAAATTGTGTAAACGTTGTTAGTTTTTTGTGCATACACTGCAAACACAGAACATCTTACCAAGTGTTTTTGGTGTAGTTTTTAGAGCAAATATCTTATTACACTTGAAATACGACAAAACTAAGTTGCAAGTAATTTTTCAGCAAGAAACAGAAACTTTTTTATGTAAATAATTCCATAATATTGATAGAAAAATTCTAGTTCAATTGGGAGATTATTTTTTATTGATAACATAAGAAAATGTCTCGTTATAAGTTAAATAATCAGAGAAATTAGTACTTTTTCTGTTAATATTAAGGGGAACCTATTGAGTAAAATTCACATGTCTTTACTTAAATTTGGATATTTACTGCTTCTAAAAACAACCAAAGTGCTTAAAAAACACCAACCTGGTACCTGGAAATAAATTAGGTATTTCTGGTGTCTGGAAAATGAGTCATTTAAAAATTTACGACTGTAACCTCACAAATCAGCTATCACTGCCCGTTGCTTAGCAACTCAATCTGAGGTCAAGGATGTTCGGTCTGCTGTTTTATTGGTCTATGTGCTTTACAATGGCTGCTGGAAAAGACAAGTGTTTTGTTTCTGACTTACCGTCCAGAAACCACTTGCTGCGTTCTTGTTGGTTGTGCAGGAGGTTCTACTTCTGCTTTTCAAAGATGTATGATTGCGTATCTGTTTGCAGCCATTTTAAAGATAGAGTGTAAACACTGATTTCGGGCGTGGCCAGCACCTAAACGCCCTGAAACAACTGGAAGGAACTCTAAACTTACCAGTCTGAAATCTAATTATCCGATAATGATTTTATGCAAAACATGTAATTAACTTTTTGTATAACCCATAGATCTATAATATTCTGTTCAAAGAAGCATAGCAGGTCAACTATAAAAAATTATTTACTAAAATAAGCCTCTATATCTAGCAGAAATGTTACGTTTAAGTTAGTTTTGTCTTATTTCAAGAGCACTAAGCTTTTTGCACTAGAAACTAGACCAAACAAATGAGGTGAGATTTAGTTTTTTTGCAGTGTAAGCATGCAGAGTAGCGCTGCCAGATGTTTGTTCTCGTCATGGCGTCTCGGACTCCTCCTCGTCCTCCGGTGACGTCGGGGAGGCCGGAGTGTCGTCCTCCTCTCCGGCTGCGGTTGCTGCGGTTGCCGCAGGCTGCGGAGCTGCCGCCGCCGTTGTCATCTTCTCGTAGGTCCTCCTGCGCTGCCGCCTCAGCGTCTGGCTCTGCAGCTCCTTCACCTCCTGCAGGACCTCCTGCGCCTCCTTCCAGGACGACACCGCCTCCGCCAGCAGCCGCTCGGCCTCGGCGCGCCGCCTCTCCACCTCCCGATCCTCTTCAGGCGGCTCCAGAGGAGGAGGAGAAAGGCGGAGTTTGTCGGGGGTTTTGGGTTGGGCGGAGTCGAAGGATCTGTGCAGACCTGGGGAGTTTTGGTTCTGCTGGTTCTCCTTAATGATGCCCAAATGAGGGGAGTCGGTTTCGCTGCCCTGCAACGAACCGGATCCCTCCGCCTGACAGGAGTTGGATCTATTCAAACATGGCGGCGTCTCGGGAGTCTTCTGTGGAGGAGAATAATCCTTTCTGTTGGCGCTGGGACCTGATGACCCCTTCAGTTTTGGAGCGTCGGAGCTCTTGGATCGAGGAGAGCCGCTCGGATCCTTCAGGCGAGGCGAGTCGGCGACTTTACCTGCAGGAGAGTGAGACCCTCTGGAGCGAGGCGAGTCGGCAGCTTTGGAGCGGTTCTTCTTGGCTTTGGATCGAGGAGACTCTCTTCCTCTGAGGCGGGGCGAGTCTTTGCCCCGGAGGCGAGGCGAGTCGCTGCTCCTGCTCCTCGGAGATCCAGACGATCTACTGATGACGAGAGGAAACTGTCAACTGGGATTGAAACTATTAATCAGATTCATTGATTTTTTTTAAACAATCGTCAACTAATTTAGTGATCAATTAATCATTAACAACACTATGCAGACTCAAAAAAGTTAGATGTTGGAAAAAACAACCAATTTAGAGTAATAATTTAACCCAGCTGGACAAAATATATATACAGTTTGCGTTAATAGGATTAATCATGATAAATTAATTACTGAAATGATCGTCAACTAACTTAGCATTCAATTAATCGTTAACTAGAGTATACAGACTCAAAAATGGACATTTGCTGGAAGAAACCCCAATAAACTCAGAGCAGTCATTCAACCAAACTACAAAATATTTACACATTTTGCAAGTAAGATAAAAATGTCTATAAATTTGTTTTTCCCAAAACTCCTGAAGTGGCATTTTTTAATTGACTAAAGATTGCATTTTAGGCAATAAAACATTGAAAAGTAACTGAATTGTTTATTTGCAGAGTTTAACATCTTTCTAATATTGCATAGAAAAGAGCTTAAATGAAAAATTTGAAGAATATACCAATTTGTTTATTTGATTAATTAATTAATTAATTGATTAATCGTCAGAATGAAATGATGCTGAGTTGTAGCAGAGTGTGATGAGACCACCTGGAGTGGGGAGAGTCTGAGCCCCTGAGGTGGTGAAGCCGAGGAGAGTTGATCCCCTTCAGGTACGTTGAGCTGCCGCCTCGTTCTCTCTCCGCTTTGGCCTTTTGCAGCTCCTACGAACAGCGACATTTACCATCATTTTCACAGCTTACAGTCGGAGGGACACAGGTTTCTGAGGAAGTCGGACCTGCAGCCTCATTTCCTCCAGCAGCTCCTGGGCTCTCTGCATCCTCTGGGCGATGAGGCTCTGCAGCTGGCCCACCGGCTGGGCGGAAGGGCCGCCGCCCGCCTCCTCTTCGGTCGGACAGCGCCGAAGAGCCGAACGAAACTCTGACCGAATCATTGCCGGTCTGGAAAACCAAATCATTTTCAGGCTCATTTTATGATCGGCCTGTGTGTGTTCAGAGCACCAGAAGCCCAGCAGTTCACTACGATGTGATGAGTCTACATTTCTGGTCATTAGGTTGAAATGTACACTTCAAAAACACAATTTTACTAAGTATTTTTGGCGTAGACTCTAGTGAAAATATCTTAACAGACTGCAAATAAAACAGAACTATTTTACAAAAACCTTTTTCATCAAGATATGGGAGCTTGTTTGAAGGCAATAACTCAGTAATATTGCAACAAAATAAAAAAAGCTAGTTTCGCAATCAACTGGCGCTGCACCGTTACCTAGCAACCCCAGCCAAGCCCAGCCGGTAACCTAGCAACAACGTACTATCCACAGGCAGTTAAATTAAATCAAAACATTTTTTTAATGTTTAAAGTAAAATAAAGTAGATCAGTGGAACCAGTACATTCTCATCAATGTTAAGGAATTGTTTACATAAAACAATATGTCACCAAAAGGTTCATTGTAAGTTAATTTGATCTGTTTTCAAGGTATTTCCACTAGAAATTACACAAAAAATACTCAGTAAGATTTTGTGATTTTGCAATAAAAACAAGACTTTCTGCTGTGACTTCATTAAAAAGGTGATTCTGTCCTAACTTAGGAAGGGTGAAAAAGTCTCTGTGTCAATCTGATAAATAATGCAATAAAATTAAGAGTAAATACAAAAGCCAACTAGAGAAATCCCATCGATGCATCCAGTAGCTTTAACTACAGGAACATCCAGGTTAAGTCAGCAGATCAACCAATCACCGACTCTAACATGGTTCTGGCAGTAAACCGGATTCACTGGTGATGCAAAATGAGAATATGCAAAATCCAAACAGAAGCGTCTCAGTTGGGATTCAAATAGAGTCGACGGGGAAATGCACCTCTCTTTCATTTACAACCAAAACAAGTCCAGTTGGAAGCACAAACAGCGACCACACTGAGAATCAAATTTGTGCTCACAGGTTTTGTGTTGCTTTGATGAGCCATTTATGACTGAACACATTTTCAGATTCAGTTCTCAGATTTCACAGTTAAATTGTCTGATTGTCAAAAATCCCAGGACTTGTTAAAGTGCCCTTAAAATTTAATTGACAGCCCCTAATTATCCTTCCTGAAGGCAAAACGATTAATATATTTAGATGTAACCGGAAAAAACAATCAGCGTGACTGTAAGTTATTAAATCTGACATATTTGGAACAAGATGATTAGGCCGACTGAGATTAAACCAGACTTCAGAAATTAAAGTCAGAATTCTGAGATTAAAGTCAGAATTTTGAGATTAAAGTCAGAATTTTTAGATTAAAGTCAGAATTTTGAGATTAAAGTCAGAATTCTGATATTAAAGTCAGAATTTTGAGATTAAAGTCAGAATTCCGACTTTAATCTAATTTTCAGAAGCTCCAGATTACAGTGCAGATGAAGGAGTTGATTTTAAAACCAAATTTCTCTACGTTATTGTAAAAGTGAATCAAATGAAATCACCAGAATATTAATTTGAGAGCCTCTCCCCAGTCAAAAGAACCACTTCAAGATAATAATCTAGTAATTTCCAGCCAGATTGAGAGGTTAATCTGTGGATGTTTCACCTGGAGGACAGGACTTCATCCATGGAGGCGCAGCGGCTCCGACCCTGCATGCTGAACCTCTTCCCTGGCTGCGGCGTTCGAGACTGGGCCTGAAGGACCTGAAGGGGCAAAGGTCGCAACGGGTTCAGATGATGATCCACTGACCATAAAATCGCACAAACAGGAATTACAAAAATAAATTGGCGCAATGGAAACACACCATTTAAAAATAAAATCTTGTTTTTCCAGGCGAGATGGTTCATGCTGGTTTGAAACGTCTACTTCCTGTTTTTACATCCCTGCGTAGCGTCAACAGTGAATATTCTGCATATAATACTGAGAGCTCTATCTGATTTGTTATTTATTGATACTGATCACATATTTATTGCGATATATATTGCTATTCATTCATCATCCAGGCCTTCTCCAAACCAGTAGATGGAACCAAACCAAACTCACATTTTCTTTTTACAACATTTTCAGAGTTCGCTCAAAAACCAGTTGGATGGAAACATAGTGAGTGTCTCACCTGCTGGTTCTTTTGGACTTTCGAGGCGTCCAGGTGTGGCTGTTTTCCCCAGGAGCGCTCGCTGCCTCTCGGTAGGCTCCCCGTCTTCACTTTGGGCTCTTTGGTCGTCACCCGCAGCTTCGAGACGTCGGTTCCCGCCCGCTGACGACCTCCGACCTCGCCTCCAGAGTCATCTTTCTGCAGGTCGACCCGGAAGCTGTCCTCCCAGGATTCGTCGTCGTCATAATCGAGGCAGAAACCGTCCTCCTCGGCAACCAGGTCAAGGGTCAGCATGCCGTGAGAGGAGGTGGAGGCCTGAGGTTTCAGAGACGATCTCATGAAAGGTGGTAATCCAGAATAACGGGAAGGAGGAATGGGGGTTGTTAGTACCACGGCCATGAGGTGTCCTCTGGTCGGCAGCCGGCGGCTGTGAGGGATCTTCGCCCGATCTCTGGTCAGATGATCCAGAGCGCTGTCCTCCTCAATGGTCACCTGAAAGCCCATTGGAAACACGTCAACATTCACACTTCAAACTCTTATAAACCTGCAAACAAACCAGGTCGGACCTCGTCCAGAACTCTGTTCTTAGCCTTGATTATAGCCACGTTCAGCGTGTTGATCCAGGACTCCTTCTCCTCCGGACTCACAGCCAGAAACACCAGGTTAGGAACCTGCAAAATACAACATTTAATCTTTTCTGACCAACATGTTAAAGGTGTACATAGTTCCCACTGGTCTGAACCGGAAGTAATGCGCACCATCTTAGTAGGTGAGCACAAAGCATAGTGGGCCAACGACTGTGAGACCAACAAAAAGAAGATATTGACACTCTTCACCAATGTACAAGAGATACATGAACAAAATGGCTGCTGTCAGGATCACCCCGAGCGAGAAGAAGGAAAATATGTCAGACGATGTGGACAAGCTTCCTCCTATCTCAAACCACGATACAGTTAATAACTCCTTGGTGAACAGGAAGAGTTTGAACGCCATGGAGGAGATTCACGACCTCACAATCAATATTTAAACAGATTTATAAAGAACGTATGAACTCTTCATGTAAATATTAAGGTGGCAGAGAAAGTACATGTAGTAACAAACACATAGGCTACATGTCCGTCTTAGCTAGCAGATAAAAGCTACATTAGCTAAGCTAATTTTGCTAGCTCGACTGTGTTTACTACAGTAAATATCACTGACAGTTATCTTAGTATTTACACACAGTTGGGTAGAGTACTCAAGTTGTAGTTTTCCATAAGTTACACAGAAATGAGGCGAGAGCTGCTTCTACGTTTGTGGCTTATGTGTTGTTGTCACAGCAACTCCACAGCAACATCCTGAAAAGACACCTGTCAGTTGCAAAGTTTTTGTGACATCATGAAAACTATGTGTTATGTTAGCAGACAAAACATTTTCATTATATTTATTCCACAAAATCACTGTTTGAGATTTTGAGTTTAAATCGAAACAAATGAAAAATCTAGTGACTTTTTTCTGTGTTGTCAGCTGGGATATAAAAATACAATCATGTTTTCTGTGAGATGTTTAAAGCTTGGGAAAATTTTTTACAACCAAAACTCTGCTGTAAATTTCCCTACAACTTTCTCCTTGGTTGCATTTTATGCAAGTAAATGGGGATGATTGTAAATGCAGACTTCATCAAAAACAACAAAATGAAAAGTAAGCATGCATTTTCTCCCTGTCTGCCTAAATGTATTCCTTTATATTGGTCTATCATTTAGGAAAATACCTGCACATTTAAAAAATATAATTTTTTCCCAGTTTTCCAGAAGGTTTTCACCTGCAGTTCATAAAAAAATGCTGCAGATATTTAGATAATAAAAATATCAAATACTGAGTTAAAACTACATACACCTATGTTTACTTATGGTTAGCGGTTTTAATAATAAATAAGTTAAAACTTTGACATTTGGTGACTTTTTGGAAAACCCTCCAGAATATTAATCTGTAAACTAAAGCGAACATAATCTACCATGAGTGGTAGATTATGTTTCAGTCATGTTTTCTCTTCCTCAGAGTTTGCATGACTGTAAGAAAGAGTAAGCAGGAAGACTGGCATGTGAAAGTGTTTCAGGGATTATTCTGCTGTAACTCACGGACTAATGGGATTCTGCAGATTAAGCTTTTTCAGGGGGTAAAGAAAAAACCATCAGGGCTCAGCCAGTCAGGCGTGTGGGAGGGAAATAAACGTTTAGATCCACCAATCCTGACGGAGGAAGTGCTCCAATGGGGCGGCTGCGTTGGACAGTTGGGACGGCATAATCTCCGGAAGCAGAGGACAGAAGGACACGAGCAGAGACACATTGAAAGGACGAACTGTAGGAAGTTCAGATTTTCACATCTGGAGAGGATAAATGCAGCCCATAAAATAGCTGATGTAACATTCTCACATAGCTCTCTGTGGACAGGTCTTTCCTGTTCCTGACCGGATTGTGCAACTAAAACGTTGTGAAACTGGACAGAAAGTGGAGGACAAGGAAGGAAGAAGAACAACACAGGCCTAGTGATCAGGAAACAATAAAAACACAAAGAGCAGAAACAGGAAGTAAAGGGCAAATTATCCTGCAATTCAGCAGCCATTATGTGCAGGGTAAATGGATGGATGGATGGATGGATGGATGGATGGATGGATGGATGGATGGATGGATGGATGGATGGATGGATGGATGGATGGATGGATGGATGGATGGATGGATGGATGGATGGATGGATGGATGGATGGATGGATGGATGGATGGATGGATGGATCTTTAACATTTGTTCTTTGCTCAGATTTCTGAGTTTTTTAAAGTTTTAACTCTTAAAGTTTCTTAAATCAAAACATTCCAGGAAATTTTAAGTTATCTAAAAAATTAACATAAAAAAACCAAAATAAAAACTTTCAAAGCTGCTTTATAAACACTGGAGCCATCAGGAAGTGACAGATGAACACATATCAGTCATGCATAAGGAAAAACCAAAATCATTTGAGTGTAAAGTCAAAGTAAACCCAGTGGATTTCCCTCATAAGCCTTTTCAATAGATAATCTGAGCAGAAGAAAGCGGACGATGAGAGCTGTGCAGCGTTGACACGGCGACATCATAAGATCTGCTCGTAAGCCTCCTCTGCTCTGAATTATGTTCTGGTGGATTTGGGTCTGCACGACCTCATCAAAGCTGAAAAAAAACTTTTCTCACGGAAAAACAAAAACTGAACGTTTCGCTGTTAAACATCTATTCACTGTTAGAACGGAGTTCATGAAATCCTAAAGGTTAATTACTGTTTACTGAGTGAGTACAACTGAAGCAGCACATTTTGTTGTTAATGGTTTTTCTACACTGTAAAAAAAACATTTCTTATTTACAGTAAATTACCGGCAGCTGTTGTTTCCAGAATTTTAGTGTATAAATACCAATTTTAACGTATTTATGTGTAAATTAGAGAGTTTTTTAAAGCGTGGGTTTAAGTAAAATTTGAAGAGTGGATTTACACTATAAAAACACAATTTTTTAGCAAATATTTTTAGTCTAGTTTCTGGTGCAAATGTCTTTAAATAAGATAAAACTAACTTATAGGTAAGCAAAATATAGGAGCCTATTTTGAGGCTCTCTCAACCTTGATTAAAAAAAAAAAGTATAGAAATATCTATACTCGATTTATGGGAAAATGTCTTATAACTAAAATAATCTGCCAGTACTTTTTAGAAATAAATATTTAGGAATTAAAACAAGCTTCTATATCTTGCTTAAAAGTTGCTTTAAGATAGTTTTAAATTATTTCAAGTGTACTGGGATATTTTCACTTTATTCTCAAACACTCTTGGTAATATTTTGTTTTTGCAGTGTGCTAAGCTGTGCTAATTAAGCTAAGCTGTGCTAATTAAGCTAAGCTGTGCTAATCAAGCTAAGCTGTGCTAATTAATGTCGGGGCCTCCGAAGCAAGTTGATCAGAGGCTCTGATTAAATCCAAGCCAAAACCACCTTCATGTTTTTTGGAAATAGCTCCAAAACAGGAAGTGGACTACAACAGAGAGCATTCTGGGTAAATACAACCAAAACAATTGCAAGAGTTCACCGCTAGCGGAAGAAATGACTCGTAGTTTTTTACCAAGAGACAAAAGAGAAATACTGCTAAAATTTGACGCCACTCCATTTTTGTTTACACTTTGTGAAGAAGGTCGTTACGCTCATTGTGTTCTTCAGATGTTTCTGTGTCGTTTCCTTCAGTGGTTCTTGGTGCAGCGCCCCCAAGGGTGAGGAGGGGAACAGGTTTCTCAGAGGTTTTGGTTTGTTTAACACATTGCAGTAGAAGTGAACCACAGCAGCTGAAAATGGCCGAGTCTTTCGGACGATCAGACAGAACTCACCGTGTTTCCTCGCTGCTTGCAGCGCAGCAACGTGAAGCGACTGTGGTTCTTCTTGCTCCGACTCTTCGCCTTCCTCAGCTCCTCTGAACGCTCGTAATCAGCCAGGTCAAACACTTCCTGGGCTTTACGCTCATCTTTAACCTGTAAACACCAACACAGGAAAAAAATCACTCAGATTACATCACAGCTGCTTATAATCCAGATTCTTGGCAGCAGCTTTCTGCTAAGGCAGCAAAATCTGTGATTAAAGGAACCATGTAGAGTTTAAACTTCAGAGAGAAAAACTGAGTGATCATGAGACTTTCACTAAAAAATAAACACCCAAATTCTTGGCTAAACCTAAGGGCTGTACGATAAATCAACTACATTGATTAATTGATTAAAATTTTGGTTTTAGAAGATTTCATTTTTTGAAAATCTGTGTTTTTGTCACGTGGGTTTCCATAGTTCAGAGAGTTTTATTCAGTTTCAATTCAGTCTTTATTTGGACTTTGAAACCAGGTCAACTCTATTATAAAATATAAGGGTTATGGTAGGATTCCTTTTTATTTAGAAAAATAAAACTTGTAATGTTAATATTAAGCTTTTAAGAAATTTGTTTTTTCCATATTTGTTCAAACTGTCGCCTTGTTGTGACAGTTTGATATGACACCAAGAATCAGTAAAAAGATCAATTTCCTGCACTGTCTTCTATCAAATACAACCAATCGGAGCCAGGAGGAGGGTCTTAGCGCTGTCAATCAAACTCATGTACTGAATCTGCAAACTGTACATCTTTGAGGAACAGAAGTGGAGCCTCCTGCACAGCCAACAAGAATCCAGCAAGTGGTTACTTCGGGTAAGTCAACAACTAAACACTGGTCTTTTCCAGTAGCCATTGTACAGCGCATGCAGCAGTAAAACCAGCTCACCAAACATGCTGGAGCTCAGCTTGGGTTGTTAGGTAAGGCGGAGTATTCATCAAATGTCACTCAATAAATTGGACATTTATAAAACAGCTCATTCCAGACACCAAAAAAACATGAACTTATAACCAAAAAATGTCTGGATGTATTTTTTTAAACACTTGGGTCGTTTTTATTGAAACAGCAGTGATTCGAATGGAAGTACAGAAATGTGAATTTTGTGTACCTCCCCTTAAAAACAGGTAAAAATCGCCAATAAGTGTTTCAAAGCCTTTCTCCCTGATGTAGAAACGTTTAATAAACTCGTCCACATCTGTCTCTGCTGCTCGTTTAGCACAGAGTCGATGACACAGAAATAAGCTTGTGTTTGTACCACAGACTGAACCATCTGGTTCCACCCTGCTGCTCATGAAGAAACCTGAACCCAAAGGGCCGACCCAAACCTCCACACTGTGGCTCCGGTACTATTGGACCTTTTATACTGTTTTGGAGATAACTTTCTAAAATTGTGTTTGTCATTATTTGACCCATGATTCAATCTTCTCTAATGTTTAATAATAATAAATTATATTGAAAACAGATTTTTTTTAACTGAATTATTGATCATTTCACACAAACAAGAGCAGCTGTTTTCATTCCAGTTGGTATTTTTCACATTCAGGTCGAACATCTGGCTCATTAGCTTGAACATTTTGACTCGTTTCATTCAGATAAATAAATATGATACCATCTGTTCAAGATGTAAAAAAGAACATTTTTACTGCATTAAGTCAATAGTGGGACACAGTGTTTATTACGATAAATATGGATGTTTTGCAGTTATTTTTGAATAACACTGCTTAACGTTACACCACGGGTTGTGAATAAGACTGTTATAAACATGTAATAAAACATCATGAACAGGAGTAAGTCTTCATGAATATTTATGACTGTTGTCATAAAGTGTAAATCATGAGACTTTAATACAAAGTTGACATTATTCTAAATGAAATTATGATCTGACATAAATTTGCTATCAAAGGATTACTGATTAAACTTTAGCTTTGATAACATAAATTTTTAAAGTGTAATCAGTAATACTTTTAACAACAAATTAATGTCAGACTATGATTTTTGGTTAATGTCAAGTTGTCATAACAAAGACATTTTGAATAATGTCAACTTTGTATTGAAGTGTCATAATTTATAAAATGACACTTTATGACTACAGTCATCAATATTCATGAAGGTGTTATTCCATGTTTATGACAGGTGTTGTTACACCTGTCATAAAGGTGTTATTCCATGTTTATGACAGGTGTTATGACCGTCACAATTTTACTGGGAACTTTCTCCTAACCATAAAACAGCTCAGTGGAAATGAGGAAACACAGAACGTCCATTACACTCAGTTCTTCTGTCTGCATCACAAGAATAAATAAAAAGGAATCCAATCGAACATCATTGTTCCAGTTGTCGCCTGGATGCAGCGTGAGGCTCATGCTGCATCCATGCAGTCGCTGATTTGCATTTGGATCTGAAACGAGTCGTGGAGAACACGGCTGCATCTTTAATCGATTAGAGACGGGTTTCCTATCACAGCTGGTGTTAGAACCAAATGCTGCAAAACAAAAGATGGCACAAAAATGTTTAAAATTAGGAAAAAATGAAAAATTATAATCAGAAAGACATTAAATGTAATAAATGAAGAAGAAAAGGGAAATTCAAGAAAAAGAGACACAGAAAGTAAATATATTAGAGCAATAAATCAGTTCCAGAGTTAAATATTAATCAGAATCTAAAGTTTGTGATGTCTGAGAATCTCACATTATTGAATCATCATCATTATATCACAAAATATCATCGTTTATTTCAGCAACGTCTGGGACTTTTAATCGCCCAGAAAAGTAACTATTGTTACACATATAAGAGACATTTCCTTCCCTTTCAACAAAAATAGAGAAAATCCTATTTAATTATTAATTTCAGGATATTTTTGCTCCAAACAAAACAATCCAAAGTATGAAGCAGCGTTTTTAATGGCTTAAAATAATAAATATATATCTCTATATGTTTGTGCTTTAATCTCATAATGTTACAAATATGTTTAGTTTGTCTGAATGATGAATGTTAATGAAATATTGGCAATATTCCATTTAAATGTGATAACTTTGCAGTTTATGGATTAATTAGTTTGTTGAACTTGAGATGTTTTATGAGCTAATAGTAATCCAAGAGTGCAATACAAACGAATACAAGTCGCTTCATAAGCACTCAGAAACCCTTAAATGTATAAAATTGTTCCATATTTTGACCATAATAAGGATGATTTAACATTCCTCTGTGTTGTATGGTGTGTTTAATGGCTGCAGGGTTCATGGAAGTCACATGTTGAGAAGCCATCGATACCATTATCAATACCACAATCTATACTATTTACATGGAGCCTGAGCCTCAGCGCCGCCGACATGGAGACGTTTCAGAAAATACGAGACAAAAGAGGAGTTTTGGGTGTCCGGACGATCAATTATCTGCATTTTTCATGAGAAATATCTGCATGAAGGAGGAATGTCTTCTCTGCTTTAGTTTCAGAGTAAAACTGCTACCTTTAAAAATAGAAACCCAACACACACACACACACACACACACACACACACACACACACACACACACACACACACACACACACACACACACACACACACACACCGCCTCTGGCTGCAGTAGTTAGCGGACCGGGTCATTCTGAGACACAGAAACAGGACGAATCCCCGAGACTCACAGTGAAATAAATATGTAATTACAGGAAACACACAGGCTTTTTCATCGCTTCAGAGCAGATCGCAGTGATTTACAGTCTCACTCAGGCCTCAAACTTGTTTTCTTCTCACCCCTGAGCGCGTCGTTACCCAGAAATCTAATGATTTATGATGTAAATAATAAGATCAACTCCCCCAGCGTGAGCTAGCAGCGCTAACTGGGTTAGCGTGAGTCATTATAACGGTTCAACAATAACAGGAACACGAGTTTCTGCAGCTAAAATACACACGAACAGAACCTTTCTCATACGAACAGAACCTTTCTCATACAAACAGAACCTTTCTCATACAAACAGAACCTCTCTCATACAAACAGAACCTCTCTCATACAAACAGAACCTTTCTCATACGAACAGAACCTTTCTCATACAAGCAGAACCTCTCTCATGTGAACAGAATCTTTCTCAGCAGAAACACACACTTTATTCCTGACTCTGCATCCGCATTTAGCTGGAAATGTCTATTTTTAAAGCAGCGTAAATGGGAAGACGGGGAACAGATTCTGGTTTCATGAGAGATGTTTCCAGTACTTTAATTATTTCTGCAGAGTTTGTGTTTGTAACCAGTTTGTGTTTGTAACCAGTTTGTGTTTGTAACCAGTTTGTGTTTGTAACCAGTTTGGGATTTGTTCTTCTTTCTGGTTTTATCTTATCTCTGTAAACTTTCCACTTCTCCGGCCCATTAGATCAGATCTTAACAGTTTCTGCTTTTAGTTGAGGTGTGATAAGCAATAAATCAATGAGTCACACGATAAAATAAAACAAGCTCAATCATTTCCCTTTGCCTTATTTATCAATTTTCTCTATTTCTACCAAAAACTGGATGACTAAACTCTTCAATATTGTGTTTTTGGTCTCAAATAAACTTTTTTTCCAAGGACAATTTGTTTGCAGAGACTTTATAATTAATTTTATTTGTTGTTTCTGTTATTTTCTTTATTTATATTGGATTTTTAAAATGACCTCCAGATCCAGTGTTCAACCATTTAACTCTTAAAGTTGCTTTTAAAGGGCCAGTTGAGCCAGAATCTATTGATAAAACTCATGAAATTATCTGCTAAAATATCAATGAACATCTGTTTGTTTCAGCATTCAATAAGCGTTTCTTAAAATTAAACACCATTAAACATATTTTCATAGATTTTGTGATTTCTTAGTGCGTTATTTTGCAATCAGAATTACAGATTATGTGGTGCTAAATTAGAAATATTTCTAAGCAATTTTTATTACATTTGCGCTAAATTATGTTAAATATGACTTTTTATTAATTGCCGTATCAATCATGGACTATGATTGACATCAAGTAATGCTGAGTCACTTGAACTAAATGTTTTTGACCAATTTTGAGAAACAATTGCAGTAAAATCAGAGAAAAACGTGGGAATTTGTTTTGCATATTTGTAAAGAACTGAATTATTGATGTCATTTGGAGCCTAGAGGCCCAAATAAAAAGCTGCGGCGGGCCATATTTGGCCCCCGGGCCTGTAGTTTGACACAAGTGATTTAAATCACTTAAAGTGAGTTCAAACTAGTGAATGGTCAGTACAAACAGCTGGGAGAAAACAAAACAACAAAATCAAATTGACCAACTGTTGAAGCCGTTTTTATGGTTCAAACTATTCGACGCCGACAGACGGACAGAGAGCACAGACCTGCCTGCCTGCTCTCTGTGGAGACAAAACTCAGAAGAAAGTGTTTGAGAAAGTCTGACTCAGCGTCCCGCAGCCTGCGTGTGGAGCTGCATAAAGGACAGTTACGTAATGCTGGAGCAAAAACAGAAACAGTGTGAACAGTCAGCGCTCCACTGACAGGAAGGTTCATCTGATTCCCGACAAGGACAAAACGGCCTGCAGTCAAACCACGCAGCATTAAAATGTGAATTTAATTGTGTTAAATTCACATTTTTCAGGTTTTTCCATTTGGGTCTTGACTGTTTCTAAAAACTATTAAAGAGCTTAAAGAAATTCCAGCAGAGCCAGTTCTTGGGAACAAGTTAAAGATTTTTGGTGTCTGGAAAAAGAGCCGTTTCAAAATCATTACAAATCATCAGGCCGTTACCGAGCAACCCCAGGCAAGCCCAGCCCGTTACCTAGCAACCCAGCTGGAGTTCCAGCATGTTTGCTCAGCTGGTTTTACTGCTGTACAATGGCTGCTGGAAAAGATAATTTGTTGTCGATTTACCACTTACTGCATTCTTGTTGGTTGTGCAGGAGGCTTTACTTCTGCTTTTCAAAGATGGATCGTTGTAAAATTATGCTTCTGCTTGCAGCCATTTTTATGTGAAAGTGTAAATGTTGAGTTGGAGGCGTGGCCCGAAGGAACTAATTTGATAGGACGCCCTAAAACAGCTCAAAATAGGCAGAACTGACCAAACTAAAATCTCACTAATTAGAAATGATTTTGTGACAAATATTTAATTAATGTTTTGTACAGTTTGTAGATTTATCCCAACCCGTTAAAAGGCTAAATCACCGTTAACATTAGTAAACACGTCTGCCACAGAACAATAAAAAGATTCACTCTGACGTGAAGCAGTTTCTCTAAAGAGGATGTTGGGTTTCCACAGAACAGGAACTTGATGAGGGCGGTTCATGTGAACAGCTCATGTTTCAGAGCCGACCGGCCATCATCTGAGCTGGAGGCAAACACAGATTACAGCACATTGTTCCTCCCTCGACTCACTAAAACATCCATTTTACATCAACTGACTTCATGAAACATCTAAAGGTCACTTCCTGGTTTTACTGGAAACCTGGAGATTCTTGGATTTACCAAGATTTAAACCAACATCACAAATGTTTAACCCGTAATTTACCAAGGATGCAAATATTCGTCAACTACATCCATATTTCATTGGACTGTTTAATGTGTTCGTAAGTCATTTACCACAGTCCAAAAATTATTGTTCTTATCATTCCTTTAAAATCTCTTAACTGTTTTAATTGCTTTCCTGGTTGTCTTTATTCTTCATTTTGGTGCATCAGTGTTGTTTTATGGATGTTTTTAATCTTTTCTCAGCTTTGTCATTTTGTGTCTTTTTGGTGTTTTGAAGAGTTTTGTTATTGTTTTATTTTATTATTTGTTTTTCTTTGTGATTTTATATATATTTCTCTGGTTATCTTGAGTTTCTAATAATAATTATGAGTTTATTTAGAGTTCTTTTACCTTTAGAGTTACTCGCTTTCTTTGGGAGTCTTGGTTCGGGGAAATATTTCAAATTGTCCATTTGAAGCTCAACAAGTAAAAAAAATACATGACTCAGCATTTGCAAGGACTTCTAAGTGCTAGGATTCATGTTTTTGTATTTCCGTTTCTCCTGCTTCTAAAAACAAACACTTAACGGGCTTTTTGCCGTTACCTAGCAACCCAAGTGAAACTCCAGCACATTTGGTGGTCATCTGGTTTAACCGCAGAATGCGCCCTACAATGGCTGCTGGGAAAGATGCAGCCATTTTCACATCAACGCTGAGTGGGGGGCGTGGCCTGCAGCAGCCCATTTAAAGTGACAGCGCCCTAAATCGGCTCATTCTGGACGGAGATCGAAACAGGCAGAACTGAAATCTCTTATTCTAAAACTTATTTTGTGGAAAAACTGTAATGAAAGTGTTTGGATCACTGGCCCATCCCAACCCGTTCAAGGATCGGTTCCTTTAGAGGAACACAAACTGGGTGAGAACAAAAACTCTGGGTTTCTTTTTCACTCTCCAACATCTGATTCCTGAATCAGTCGCTGCTGCTCATCTCCGCTGCCGCTCCAGGACACAAACCGTCTCCGTCTCTCTCTGACACTATGAGGTCGCTGACACCAAACAGCTGCTGAAGCTCCAGAACCCGTCAGGCAAAAAGACTCCCAGTCCTCCCAGGGCTCCCAGTACCGTCCCATTGACTATCTTTCCTCACCTCCTTGTCTGAGATGTAGAGGTGATCTCCTTTCACCACCAGGTACCGGCTCCGCCACAGCTCCCGGAAAATCCCTCGACCGCAGAACTTCCTGATCCAACCCGCCTTCTCCGGCTGCTGGACGGCGAGCGGACCGGAGTCCTGGAAGCCCTGAAACAGAAGAAGAAGAAGATAAAATCAAAACAGGAGAAACCACGAGTCCACAGCCAACACGGAGGAGCGATAATCAGATTAATAAGCGTCAACTAATTTAGTAATTGATTGATTGTGAACTGAAGTATGCAGACTTTAAAAAAGATAATTTGCTGAGAAAACAACAAACTCAGAGAATTTATTGAGCCAAAACTGTAAAAATACGTTAATTAATTATGAATTGAAGATATTAAAAAAAACCTCCTCAAATGTCATTTGTTTTAGGGATAAAATGATTAATCATGATTAATCGATTGTCAAAACAATCATCAAGTAATTCGGTAATACATTAATTGTTAATTATGGTTTACAGATCCAGAGAACAACATATTTAAAAAATACAAAAAAATATATCCGTTATGCAGTTTAGATGAAAATAAACTTCTTTTTTTACCCAAAACTAATCAAACGGCAAAGTTAAATTCAAATTCTGTCAAATTAAATCCATTAATCCAATTACTAGTCAGTTAATCCAAAATATAATCAAGAGATCAATCCTAAATTGTATTGATACTGTAAGCATAAAGGATTTAAGTATTTTTATTTCACAAATGATCAGCTTTTCAGTAAATGCTGTGCTATTCCATTTAAGGCAATACAATTTAATTGTTTGTATCATTTAATGTATTTGTAATATTGTAGAAAAAAGGGTTTAAATTTAAAATCAGTAGAATGTGGCAACTTTTTATCCAATTAATCGACCAATCGCCATACTAATCGATAGATTATTTGATAAGCAAAATAATTGAGTTGCAGCCCTAGACAGAATTAATTTGTTATTAATGTGTGATTAATAACAAAATGTTTAATTTCACAAACAAACAAAAAATGATTAACATTTACTAATAAGACGATCAACTTATCTCATTTTTAGGTTTAAAATGAGGAATGACTGGAAAATCCAGATGAAAGTCGATAAAAAATGAGAAAAAAACAAAGTGAAAAGGTAAAGCTTCGGTCTGAGAGCAGAAGATGAAGAAAGGCGACGGAGGAGTGAAGAGGAGGAACAACGTGTGACTGATGGAGGAGGGCAAATCTTCACGATGATCGTGTTTGTCATGATCTCACTGCTCTCCGTCAGTCTGACCTACTTTAATTGCATAACAGCCCGACTCTGACAGAAGTAAGAGGAAAAAGAAAGCTGGGCGAAGAGCTGCAGAGAAAGAGACGAAACAAAACCAACCGGGAGACGGGAAGCAACAGGAAAGAAACTTTCAAAGGGGAAAATTCAAAGAAACAACAACAACAAAAAGACATGAAAGTTGAGCTCAAAGTGGTTTGGCATGTTTTATCCTTTGATCTGACAATAACAGGTTTCAGGATTCCAGTTATTTATCTGGGGGGAAAGAAGAAGAACATTTTGAACATTTATCCCCCAATTTTTCACTACATCTTTAAATTAATTTAGCAAAAAAACCTACATTTCCTCCTCAGGACGTGTGTGAAACGTTAATCTGAGGATCCCAAAACCTAAATGACAGTGAAATGTCTGAAATTTGTCTGAATGTCTGATTCTTTAACTGACCAGATAAACAAAACCTGGGTTAAAATAAACAAAAAGGCTGGAAAAAAATATAATTAAACTTAATTTATCAAACAATAGACGATTAATAAATATGTAACAAAAATGTTTATTTGTTAATTCATGAATTAGATGTAAATGAAGATAAAGTTATTGACGGAAACGTGGCAGTGATTTCAATGGAGCGGCGTGATTAATATTGATAAATAACGAACCTGATCAGAAATCTGAGGGATTTATTTTCAGATTTATACTCTGCTTTCTGCCGAATTAAACATTAAAACAACTTAATCCCGGATGAATGTTTAAAACTGACTCCAAAGCCGAAGAATAAAACATAAAAATAAAGAATAAAACGTGTCTGACTGACCCGTATGCTTTGGTTGCTTTTCTTCATCCTCCCTCCTCTTCACTCCCGGGGGGAACCGCGCAGTCGGAGCGCTGGGGAAGAAGGAGGAGGTTCGGTCCGGCCCGGAGGGCGCTGCAGCCCGGACACTGGTCGCTCCGGGCCCCGCTGAGGTCCTGGTGTCGGTGCCGCCGTGTCCACTCGGGTCCACGCCGCTCGCGTCTCCTCCTCAGCGCCGCGGCTGTTGTCTGAACACTGGCTGCATCCTTTCCTCCTGCGCGTGCGCGAACCGCTTTGAAGCAGATGCTCTTTGGCTTCGGGCACGCGCGCGCTCGCGCACGGTGGGTTCGTTTCCAGGGAATGAAAAAGGAGCGCGACAGCGACACCCAGCGGCGCCAGAGCGGAACAACAGGAGAAACACGCCTGAAAAATGTTATTTTATCGAAAAGTTAAGAAGGAAAATAGTGAGAAATAAATATAATAATAGTAATATATTTCATCTGTAAAATAAAAAATATGTATGATAGTTTCTGCCGTCAGGTTATGGCACAAACTGATTTAATTAAAAGCTTTACAGTGCTTTGCAAAAGTTGTATTTCGGCGAGATCTTTTTAAATAGACGAACACAATATTCATTGTTTGACGGCTTACCATGGCCAATGTAGATAGGAAAAAGCACTAAAGCACAGTGTTGATTACTTTCAGTATAAAATCTCATCCAATAAGTGAAAGGAAATCAGATCTGTCAGATGGTTCAAAACCTCAGGGGTTTAATTTTGCTTATTGTTCCTTAATTTTGACTAAACCACTAACATTTTAGCTATTTGTTCTCAGTAACGATGCATTTTTTTTTTTTACATTTTAGCACATTTTCTTACTTCTTTACTTGTTTTGTGATAATAACTTATGTTTGCTGCTTTTGACAGACGAGTGTATTAGCATAGATTTCTATCAGCAATATGCAACACATGGAGACACATGAGAATGAATGAAACAGCTTTCATCATCATCAGATTAAATATATCTTTATTAAACACGACATGTTGTGTCAGGCTTCTGCTTCTTCCTTCTTTTCCAGGCAAAATTCTGCAGAGAAACAAAACACATTTTTTTTAAATAATCTGCTTTATGATCCAATTAATGGCTAAAATGGAGGTTAAATTGGCAGAATATAGAAATTCATGTCTGTGAATGAACATGCTGCTTGCTTTTGTCATTTAATATAAAAAAAAAGAGTTTAAGATGTTGTAGGATCCTAGTAATTTGGGGTTTATCTGGAGAATATTCTGTCACCAATTATATAAAACAACATCACAAATGTTTGGCTGTTGTTTGGTTTCTATAGCAATTAACACATAAAATTTGACGTCTGTTGCCCAGTTTGACCACGTCAGACAGTTTTTTTAGTCATCTTCCTGACCTGCCTTCCCGTCGTAGCGGAAACTTGTCCTGACGTTGAACTTCAGGCACTCGGCTATCCTCCTGTGTTCGCTCTCAGCAGCTTTCAGCTCCTCAGCATCCAGGTGTTTCCCCTCCCTTCCTGTTTCACAAAAAATGACAGGAAGTCAGCAACCTCTCTGCAGGCAGAGAATAAACACTTTGTATGGGAGATATTAGAGACTTGCAATGTTCTGTTCAGTTTTTTACTTTAAAATATTGTTTAGTTGTGGTTTTCTAACAGATCATGATGTGTTCGGACTGTTGTAGATAAAATTTAAAAAGAAAATAGTCACAAAAGTATTTCAGAATTTCTTTGCCCAAAAATTGCATTTTCCCCCCCAACATTTCTAAGATTATTTCTAAACAAAACAAGGAAATTTCTGAGCTCCAAAAATTCAACAAAGTAAAAATATTACAATTTGGAATGGAATTTGTAATTAACTTGCGTCTCTGATTTATGGTAAAATACTGGCAGCTGAAGTTGCCAGAGTTTTACCATATTCACATAATTTTACCATAAATACGGAGAAATTCTGGCAACCACAGATAAAATATGGATTTTACCGTATTTACATGCAAATCTGGCAAACTGCTGGTATTTCACTGTGAAGTAAAAATTCTTTTTTCTTTTTTTTCAGTATGATTGGATTGGACTAGATTTTCACTTATTTATAAATTGCCTTATTATATTTGTTGTAATTTTGTGCAGTACAAGTGAACAAAATTTATTTTATTTATTTTTTAGAACTCTTTATTTACATTTTAACACTTCAAAACAAAACATTGCAGCTGTTTGTAATAAAATAAAAAAAAAACCAACAGTCTCCCATTTTATTGGTTTCCAAAGCTTTCTATGTGCTTTAAAGACAGATTATATCAGTTCTGACAGAGCAAAAACATCATGCATTCAAACAACTGATAAGTTTGTCTTATTTTTGCATGGAGCTTTTGCAGATCACAGATCAGTTTTAATCTCGTGTCAGGTGAATGTTTTCCTCACTGTAAATGAGCAGCATCCTCCCCGGCGTTCCCTCAAACACTCCGTGGTAGACGATGAGCAGGCAGTTGGGACAGGCCTGGTGGACGTCCGCTCGACCTTTATCGTCGTATGGAGTCACCACCCCGCCAAACTCCCGCTCACCTTCAAGGAACCAGCAACAGTAAAATACAGGCAACTGTTCCCTCTGTGCTGATCAGACTCCTTTAAAGACTCAATATGAAACTCGGCGGCATCCAAACCTTTAGTCCTGGGGGCCAAAACTGGAAAATTTTAACTCCTGGCGAACTACTAGATTCATTAAATTAAAAAGGCAAATTAAATTTTTTGCTATTTTTTTGTTTGCTTATTTAACCTGCTTAAAAATAAATTTAACATAACATAAAATGGCTTTGGACTGTTGCCTTATTAGAAGAAAACAGAAAATTTCACAATTTTGTGTTCTGAATTATTTTTACCATTTTTGACTTGTATTCTGGGGCCAAACACAATAATTTCAAGGGCCACAAATGGCCCTCAAGCCACACCTTTGACACCCCTGATGTAACTTTTATTAATATTTTTGCATATTTATTGACACCCCTGCCACTGATAATCTGTGAAAAGACTGTTTAGGAGAGGATGGATGATGCCACTGAGTAATATTCCATACCTGGCTGTGTTTTATTTTTTATTTTTATTTGAGACAGAGCAGGACTTTGCTTTGTTTCGATAACAAGGCTGATAATCTGTGAAAAGACTGTTTATAAAACAGTTTTCTATCAAACTACTGCAGGCACCATTAAGATAATAACTTAGAAAACAGGTAATAAGTATAAAATTAGATCTAGCGCTCACCATCAGCATCCAGAAGGAGCGTATGGTTGGACGTCTCAGCATGTGGGACAGACAGGTTCCCCCGGAAGATGAGACAGTTTCCAGCTCTGGAAAAAACAGGACAAAATTACGTTTGAGCCAAATAATCGAACCTTAGAAATTTACAGAAAGCAGATTATAGATCTGGAGGTTCAATAAGCTCTGGATGGTAAGTCAAGATTTATTTAACTAATAGGAGTTATACTAACATTTTGTTTCCCTTCAGTCTCAGTGACGAATGTTTGGATTAGAATTCACTGGGCCTGAGTTGCTAGGTAACAGACTGGGCTCTACTGGGGTTGCTAGGTAACAGACTGGGCTCTACTGGGGTTGCTAGGTAACAGACTGGGCTCTACTGGGGTTGCTAGGTAACGGCGCTGCGCTTTCTGATTTGTGACGTTACATCTGAAAGGTTTTGGAAACGGCTCAATTTCCATACACCAGAAAACAGTAACTTACTGCCAAAAATGTCTGGGTGTTTTTTGAAGTGCTTGGGTTGTTTTTAGAAGCTGCAAAAACCAAAAATGGAAGAACAAAAACAAAATGGTGAAAAATGTCCCTGATAAGTAAATATGATGTGGGCCCCAGCTGTGTTTCCAGTACCCATATGCAATCTGACATCTTAAAAATACATTTGCTAAATGGAAAGAAACTAATTTAAAACAACTCTGTTTTTTGGGGAGTTTCTTTTGTAAAAAAAAAAAAAAAGTTTTGGAGCCATGATGAAAATTGCTGATTAAAAAAAAGTCTGAAATTTTGATATTAATCTCAGAAAATGTTCTATTTTTTTCTAGAAAAGATTAATTCAAAAATTTCTGATTTCTTTTGTCTGAGCATTTTCTTTTTTGTATTCCTAAGGGCCCTAATATAATCTACACTGCAAAAACACAAAATTTCACCAAGTATTTTTGGCCTACTTTCTTGTACAAACATCTGAATATATATTAATAAGACAAAACCATAAAAGTAAAATTTTTTCAAATATTATGAGTTTGTTTTAAATAAATCACTTGCTCTATTGACAGATTATTTCACTTAACAAGACAGATTAAATTATTTAATCTGTCCCGGTTTCGTCCTTAAGGAAACAAGCTCTTACATCGTACTGAAAAGTTACTTGTAGATTGTTTTGTCTTATTTTGAGTGTATTAAGAAGTTTGCAGTAGAAACTCAACTGAAAATACTTGGTAGGATTTTGTGCTTTTACAGTGTAACAGAGACAAAAAGTTACCCGGTCCAGTTGAGCCCGGATTAAACTCACACGATGTTCCGCTCAATGAACAGGAAGCTCTCGTTGTTTCCTTTGACCTTCAGTTCCATGATGGAGCTGTTGGCGTTCTTCATTAGCTCCTTGCCTGCTGGATAATCGGCCATCGCCTGAACCAGAACCCACCGGGCCTCCGACAACTGGGACCAGAACCAATAACCAATCAGGAACTCTTCTAAGATGTCTGATGAGTCGAGGTGATCTCACCTTGTGTATGTCCTGTCGTTGCAGCTTTGGGGGCAGGTTGCATTCTTCAGCAGTGCTGCAGCTGAGCAGCATCAGAACCAGCAGAGGTCCAGTGGCGTGAAGCTTCATGGTTCAGGAAACTGGAGAGAAGTGACTGACCGAGAGCTGGAACCACAAACGAGTGTTTGCTCTTTGTTCAAGAGAAGCAGGCAAAGACTCTGACCCGCTCACTCCCACCGGTGACAGAACCGATCAATAAAACATTTTCTGGTTCCGGTCCGTCAGATATCGGCTTTTATGACATCTTTCCTCATCTACACTGTAAAAGATAATTTACTGATTCAACTTGGCTCTTGGTTCCTTCTTGCTGTGACTCAGATAAGTTGCACCTAATTTAATTGTTGAATTTAAAATAGTTAATTTCTACAACGTTTGATTAACTGTCTTTACCAATTAAACTGAAAATGATTAGTTAAAATACACTTTTTAAAAGTTGCCCCAACTTATTTGAGTTTCTATTAAATCAAGATTTTACATTTTTATAATTTAACTCATTTCTGAGTTGGATTTGTAATATAAATTTTTTTCATTTATTATTTTCAAAAACCTTAAAATGTTAATTTATTATGCATTATGTTTGTGATCTAAATGAAAAACACAAAGTTTTACGGACATTACTTTTTTCACGTCAGGAAAATTGTTTGAATTATTGTATTAAATATATAATTTCTTTTAACGTTTTACCCATTTTTTAATCTTGTAACCATTTACAAGACGTTTTGGGGTTTTTTTTAAACACTTTTATGTGTTCCCATCTTTTGTTTATTTTATATACTGGATTAAATACACAACTTTCCTGTGATTTTATATTGTTTTGTTTTTTTTCACTTCTTTGGGTTATTTTGTGAATTATTTAAGGTATTTAAAACAGTTTCCAACATAGCCAGTGTAATATTTTTAATCTTGAATCTTATTTTTATTATTTTCTAATTATTGCATCTGAACTGACAGGAAATCTCTACATTCTTTATTTCACATTACATCCATTTAATTCAGTTGCTTATTTTTCACTCAGACCCTTCACCTTTGACCTCCGTTCGGTCATTTTCTGGTAGATTCTTGGACTTTAGTGCTTCTTATCTAGACTCCAGGGTTCACTTTTTGTACATTGCATTGGTAAATATGTGAATAGATCGATATTTTTTGTTTTTAAATCGTTTAGGACAGTATTCTATATGACTCAAAGTAAACTTAAGTTGTTTATTAACAGGAAGATGAGAAATGGACTCAGAGTTACAGAACAGTCCACACAAACATTATTTTCCCTCATGGATGTATAGTGACTGGACAAGTTTAAATCAGGTCAAATTTAAATATAAAAACTGTAAATAAATTGCTTAAGATCCTTTAATGGGGTAAAATTAAAGCTTTGCATCTTTATTTTTTTGTAACATCCTCTATATTTTAAAATAACACAATTATTTATGGGTTATACTAAATTCAAACATACAGTCATTCAGAGAAGACAAACTTTTTTGGACAATACCTCAATCACATAAATGAATACTAATAATCAATAATAAATATTTAATATTTAATATCTGGTTGCAATATACCAGATCCAAATTTAAAACCAAATTATGAGTTAAACAAATATATTTTAAAATATTCACCAGTATTACACATATTTCAACTCATTTTTGTTTGATACAGATTCAGATTCCAAACACAGTTTCAACTCTGTTTTCTTCTTTTTAATAGTAATTCTTTCAAATTCACATTCAGTCAGAAACATGTAAAGAGACTCACTGGAAAATGTAAGGATGCAACAAGAGAATCACTGCATGACAGAAGCCAAATAATGTTCAATTAAACCAAACAGATTAAAAACTGCACTTTAAATCGAGGACAGAAAGCTCCAGAAGCCCTAATTATATGATTGTTGCTTTGAAAATATTGATAATTCTATGTGAGTTGATCATATCCTAACTAAATTTGAAGATAATTTCAGTTTTCTGGTCTGTTACAGTACACAATGTCAAGTCCTGGCAGCCAAGATTTCGAACAAACTGTACAGCGCATGCTTGAGTTACTTTAGAAACAAAAACCTCTGTTCTGGAAAAAATGAGCAAACATTTTTATTTTTATTTTAACCTTGATGCTAAGAAAATTATTTCAGATGTAGGTAGAATATTGACCCTATTACTTTGATATGCTAGCTAGCATTAGCAAAGCGGCGCAGGTAGCAAAGAGTTTGAAAACCCACAAGCATTTCCTCAGAGAGTGCAGCACTGTTTAGATAATAAAATATTATCAGCAGTAGAAGATAGAAAAATAAACATGTTTACGAATAAGCGTTGGTTACCAGCAAGGAAACAAAGTTTTCAGCTACACGTAGCTAAAAACAATAGCAGTTTAAAACTATAGCTAGCTATTGCCTCATGTGTTCTGGGATTCTTAATATGTTTAGAAAATAAATCATAGCTTCATAGTTTTGACTCTGTTGCAAAACAAATAAAGAGAAATGTCTTATTTTTTATGTTTCATGTGAAAATGAAACTGAATCATCACATGTTATGAAAGCAGAGCTAGTTGCTACAGGAAGTGTCATTTACACTGTTTAAATTTTAAAGAAGTTTTTCTTTAGGTTATTAATATCCTTAAAGAAATATATCTAGCAAAAGTCCTGCTGTTAAAGAAAAAGACAGAAATAAATAGCACATCTGAAATGGAATCTTAGTGATCTGGTATGTTTTACAAATAAGCTAGCATTAGCACTGCAGCACTGCTAGCTAACTACAAAGCTCTCAGAAGCCAATTCCTCAGACATTGTAGGTTTGTTGAGATCCAAATAAAAATATTATAAATTGCAGAACTACTACAAAGGACAAATAATAAAATAAAAATAGATGCTGTGAATATGTAATGTAGTGCTAGTACTTAGCTATCTGCCAGAGGAAGCTAAAAAAAGTAGCACTTAAGAATGAGTGACTGCCTGGTATGTTGGAAATACTTTTTGTAGATATTTGTAGATTTATAGCTTTTATCATGCAACAACAGGTTGCAAAATAAGATATGAACATAAAACAGAATTTTCAAAATGTGTTACAGCATCAAGCTAGTGCCTAGAAGAAATAAGAAAAAGAGCATTTTTAAAGTACCGTTTTCACAGTTGGAAATTGTTGAGATGCTCATAAAATGGTCCTAGAAATAAAGAGAAGAGTCAAAACAAAAAATAACCGATCTGAAACTTAATCTTTACATGCTGTTACCACTTCAAGCTAAGTGTTAGAATTGCAGCACAGCTAGTTGCAACAGGAAGTCATAAAAGTAGAAGTTGAAGGTTGGTGAAAATTTGCCTTTCTTGTGGCAACACTTTAGAAAGACAATAAGTGAGTGTTCAGTAGTCAGCCTTTGTTTTCCTGAGAATGTTGCTGCTACAAGAGATTAACAAACGCAAACATAAAAGTTTGCTTTGTTAACTTTTATGTTAAAAGTTCTTGTTTTTATTGGTTTTCCAAAGCATCATAAACCTTTAAAGGTTCTTTTTAAAGCTTAGAATGCAGCAAGAATTAAAAGGTCTCTCTGCACCCTTTTCTTTTCCCATGTCTTGTATTTTAAATTACATTTATTAAAGTCAATGTCATTATTCATAAATTTATTCACTTTCGATGAGCTGAATCAAGACTCTGACGATGAGATGGACATTCAACCATGACCTGAGTGTACAGTTACAGGCCTGAAAACAAGACTGTTCCCAAATCTGACATTTTTCCTGATTGAGTAGCTGTTAATTTGCCTGTAATAGGGTGTTTTTTGGTATTTAAAAAGGACATCCAGGTAATTCACAGATCTCTGGAAGCTCCTCTAAATACAGACGTAAACAAGCGAAGGGAGAGATGAAGTTTATTATACAAGAGTCAGAATGAGAGTTGGTGTTCATCGCCGGGTGGAGTGGCGCCCACTTCCCTGCGCTCTGTCGCCGCTGTGACCCGTCGCCAGCATCACCTCTTCAAGGAAACTGGAGAAGAAACAGAAAAAAACCCCATAAAAAGCTAAAATTAAACTGAATATGTTATGAATGTGTAATGTGTTCACTGTATCGCAAAATAAAAAGAATCTGTTTAACTAACGTAAACTGACTTTATTATTTGAATAAACACAGTGAATCTGACTGTGTCTGTTGTAAAGTCAACAATCTGCTGGACCCGGGATGAACAAAGAACAGTTACATATATATATAATAACAACAGTAAAATGATCTAAGCTGAGATTCAGATTCAGACATTTTTAGCACTGAGAATATTTGGTCTTTCTCCTGGCTAAAACAACTGAAACAAAATGTCCTCCGAAACTTTCCCTGTCCAATAAACTATATATGTAAAATGGCAAAATCAAAAGGTTGTCTTTATAACTACACTTAGATATGGAGTTCCACAAGGATGAGTCCTCGAGTCCTCTTTTGTTTCATTTTTTTACATGCTGTGACATAAATCTAACTAATAAAAAAATAAAAATCGGAGTATGAGAATCTGACACCTCTTAGTGTTGTGGATGGCGCTTCCTCCCAGCACAATCCGAACCCCTGGAGTGTTACGATTCAGGTTGTAAACGGTCAAAGCTTCTTCATACGTCGCTCCACCGATCAGGAACACCATAATGTCCTGAGGCCTGAAACATGTTTTCAAAACGTGACTTTCTGGAGACAGATATTTGTGTATCTGTAGAATTTAATAAAGGTGTATTTTCACTCCCCTACTTTAAACTCTTACAGATGTAAAAAAAAAAAAGAAAGAGAAAAAAAAGAAGGGTTTGAAAAAAAATCATTCAAAACCAAAAATCAAATATGTGAATTTCTGTCTGTGAGAGTGATTTCTGTAAGGGTTTCCACAGGTGTGCTACCTGTCTCTCAGGCTGCTGGCTCCCAGGTACGGGAACTGACTGTCTTTGAGTCGACCTTTAATCAGCTGATCCAGAGTGTCGTGCAGCAGAGGCTGATGCTGTGTATAAACGTTCTCTACGCCCTGAGAAATACAGTGAAATACACAACAAAATGCTGTTTTTTCTGTTTTTCCTGTAGAAAGGTACATGCTTCTTCAGGCTTATCTGATGTAGTAAGTAATATTTTTTACCTTTAGTCCTTTGAAGAACTGTTTGGTGATGGCGACAGCATCCGTCGGTGTGATGAGGTCACTCCCTCTGATTCTCTTCCCACCGTACTCCACAACCGACTGAACCATCTGTAGCAGGAATGCACATCATAAAGCTTCAATCTGCCATCCAGAGACCAAAATCAGCAAATACATTCCTACATAAAAGGTTGTGATTACCCTGCGGTAGCGTTCAGAAACTCCCTTCCTGCTCAGCTCCTCCATCAGCGACGGGAGGATGCTGCTGCTGTGGCGCTCATACCTCAAAGCGTAGAGCATGACGAGACGGACGGCGTCCAGCTCCGAAACCCGAGGATTCTGCAGCAGCCGCCGAACGTTCTGACAGAAAAGATGTCTTAAAGGTGACTTACTCTTCTTCACAAAACATGTCTGTTACATCTTCTGCACACAATCATTCTTAGATAATAAGACTTCAGTCTGACCAGTTCTGCCTATTTCGAGCTGTTTTAGAAAAGCATTAGTAAAGCCTCCTGCACAACCACCAAGAAAACAGGAAGTGTTTTCTGAATGGGAAAACAGTAAAACTGCTTGTCTGTTCCAGCAGTCATTGTACAGCAAATACATAGGTGAAACCAGCTGACCCAACGTTCTGAGATGATGAAGAGCGTTACCTGCTGAGCGTTAGAGTGGTCGTTCTGACAGGCCAGCTCCTGCTCCACCTCCGACACCTCCATCAGCTGCCGCTCAGCCACCAGCCTGGACAGCTCCCCCACCACCGTGACGTGCTTCGACACGGTTCCAGACATCTTCTTGAACTGAGGGTAGTTGTCCACAAACGCCTTTAGGGACGAAAAAAATCATTCGCAGATGATGAGATTTCAGTCAGGTTAGATTTATCTAAATGAATGAGCTGTTTAAGGCCTCTGTCACTTTAAATCCGAACAAGCTGCTGCTGGCCACATCCCCAACTCAGTGTTTCCAAATGGCTGCAAACAGATGTGCAATTATACAACTATACAGCATTGAAAAGCAGAAGTAGAGCCTCCTGCACATCCAACAAGAATGCAGCAAGTCAACAACAAAACATTTGCCTTTTCCAGCAGCCATTGTACAGCCTGGTATGTCCACTGTGACACAACGACCGCGACTCGCATGCAGCAGGAAAACTAGTTGGCCAAATGTAAACAGATTGTAGAAGCCTGGGAACTTGAGGTTCTGGATGGTCAATAATTTTTAATTAATATGAGTTACCACAACATTTAATTTCCCTTTGGCATCAATAAAGTATCTTTGAATTTACCGGAGCTTGGCTTGGGTTGCTAGGTAACGGACTGGGCTTTGCTGGGGTTGCTAGGTAACGGACTGGGCTTTGCTGGGGTTGCTAGGTAACGGACTGGGCTTTGCTGGGGTTGCTAGGTAACGGCGCAGTGAGTGCTGATTTGTGGTATTACATTATAAATGTTTTGAAACGTCTCAATTTAAAGACACCAAAAAACATTCATTTGTTGCCAAAAACCAGCTGGGAGTTTTTTTCAAAAATGTGCTAGAAAAAAGTTTTGAGATTAATTTCAGAAATTTTCTAGAAAAAATACCCAGAAATTTCTGAGTTCAAAAAATTTTACATTTTCAACTTTTGAAACTCATGAATATAATTTTTTGGGTGTAAATTTAATCTTCATTTTTGTTTGCTTGTTTTCTTCAACATTAGACCCAATAAAAAGAAAATAAATAAATAAAATCATTGAATTGTTTTATGTTAGTTTGTTCAACCCAATAAATCCCAACCTTCATGTCAGAAATGGACTCCAGCTTCTGTTGCCCTTTTGGTTTCTTTTTCTGGAAATCTTCCATCAGGTTCTTTATGTTGGTGCCGATCTCCCCAAAATTCAGGTACAAGTTCTGTAAACAGAAACATGGAACAGAACACAAACTTATTTCAATATTTTACAAAATGTTTAATCATAAAGATTTATTTTGGAAGTGCAAGTTAAACCTTTAAAACCCGACAGACACTCAGTAGGAATATCTTCCCAACTCAGAAAATTTAAAGGGAAGTGACAAATATTGTAATTACTTTACTCTTATTTGTTATTTTCTTAGCCTGGCCATCGTATAAGAGAAACTTTAAAATTTAAATCTGGGTGTTTTGTAAACCAGATTTAAATTTAATCAGCTTTCAGGTCTGAGAACTCAGAAATAGTTGAGCGTAAACAGGAAGCCGTCGTGTTTTTGTTTCAGGACTCACGTTGGCATAAAACTCGTCGTTCTCGGCGGACAGCACCACCTCCCTCAGGTCTTTGCTGATCCCTGGGACTCTGGACAGGTCGATCCGGTTGTTGTTCAGACCCAGCAGCTCGTGGACCATCGCCTGGTACGTCCACTGTGACACACCGACCGCGACTCGTCAGCAGGGGGAACATTTCACACGAAAACAAACGTCCCAGCAGCTCATCGCCACCGTTTGTATTTTCACAAAGTAACGAGGGGATTCAACACATTTATACCTACAAGATTTAATAAAATCATGTCAAAGAACCTTAAAAAATTGAATAATAAACCATAAAATAATACTGAATTGGTGGAATTTATACGTTTAGTGAAGATTGATTTTTATTTATCTTTGACACAGTTGAAATTTTGTTTTTTAAAGTTTCTCACTTAATCCTTTGTTAATGTTTGTAAAATGTTAAAATTATTGAGGTGGTGAATTTTAATTTAATGTTATGATTTTTTTTTTGTATTTCTCTTTTGTGACATGTGTAAAAGTATAATTTTATTGTAATGTTTATGGTGTGGATGCCAGGAAGAAAAATCTCTCCTATGGTAGAGACTAAAGAGGATCCTTAATTGAACAAATAAATAATTACTTTGTAATTGTTTACAAGTTCAAAATAAACCCAAATGTTAATTTAAAAAAAATACTTATCTGCTATCTTGATTATTTCCCAAACCAAAAATATCCCATAATGAACAAAAACTTTCTAAAATGATGTCATAGTCATACAAATAATCTGATTTTAGAGACACTTTTATTTAGGTTTCATATTTGATAATTAAGAATTAAATTTCTTATTAACTGGGTTTCATTTAATTTAAAAGATGGGATTCAGAAACAGAATTAAGTGTAAGTAAAAATCTTCTAAAATTAAAAACTCCTGTTTCTTGAGACAAGTTTTAAAAAAAAGTAAATATAACTAAATAAAAGCTAATTATAATAAGAAACCTGTATGAGTGTCACCTGGTTGAGCAGCGGTGTGATGGCGTCGTCGCTGCGGTCGAGGATCAGCAGCAGAGGAGGAACTTCAGTCTTCCTGAAGTCAAACAGCTCGTATTCCTTCGTGATGATTTGCTGAAAGCAGACAAACACAATTTAATGACCCTAAATGTGTTGAGCTCACAGTTTCAATAAGAAAGAGAGAGAGAAGAGTGTATTTTCTATGTTTTTCAAAATCCATGAGAAAACAAAAAACGTGCTTATTTTAAGTCCTTAACTTTGATTAAAAAGTACTAGATCCACTGGCAGATTGGTTCACTTCAAGGGCCACTAAAGTAACGGTGAACAAGTTTTATAGGCACTGTAGTTATGACTAACTAAGAGCAAAGTTAAATGTAGTTCAGATGGAAGAGGAGAAAAAAAGGTCAAAGGAAGTGTAAAACGCTGTTATGGTGGAAACCTTGACGCTTTCTGCGAGGCGTTTGGCCATGTCAGAGGACAGCTGGTAGCGGATCATCGGACATTTCTTCAGCGCCAGCAGGACGGAGGTCAAGCCCTGCGTGCAGCGCGACAACATGGAGGGTTCCCAGGTCCGACCCTGAAACACAAACAGGTTCTCAGAGAGACGCCGGACCGAGACGACACCGACCAACAGAGAGACGCCCATCAATCAGAACCGATCTGTTTCACCCAGTTTATTAAACCAGTCAAACGTTAGAACCATTTTCACAGTCAAGAAGAATCAACCACCACCAGCAGGTACTTCGATGACCTTTCTCCTGAGGTTCATACAGATCAGGTGAAGGTTTGATTCAAACTGCTGCTGCTAGCAGAGGGCTAGCAAGGAGCTAGCAGCAGCAGTTTGTTGTTCTCATCAAAACGTTCTTAAATCAGAATCAGCAGCTCTCACCTACCAGGAAACGGTTTCGGCCAGATAAAACCTGATCGGTGCATCTCTGGTCGGGAAACAAAGATGGCGAACGTGAACATGACAAACATGTCAAAGCAGCTTTCAAATGAACGGATGACCCAAACTTTTCAACAATTTAATTAAAGTATAAACTTCCAAGGAAGATTATTCTGTTGATTATCTTGGGGAGATTTGGGATAAAAAGAAATGCCACATTGCAAAGATTTTTCTTATAACCATCTATTTATTTTTATATATGTAAAAATACATTAAAAGATGCAAATATTTCAACTCCTATTTTTAAAAAAATAAAGAGTTAATTGTCTCAAATGCAGTAACAGTATTCCTCTAATGAACATTTGGTCACTTGGAGCAAAGGATGCATCTGCAGCTAAAAAATACTTTTAACATCAACATGAAATGTTATTTTTATAGAATTAAAACCAGGTGAAGTTAAAACTGCCACCTGAGGAGATCTAGGTAGAAAATATTTATAGAAAAAGTTTCTTTTTTTTTATCTTAAATGCAAAATGTACATTTTTTAACAGTTTTGGCTAATTAATGCTCTGAATATGTTGTTCTTTTAATAAATAGTCTCAACACAAACTGTGATCCAACAGGAGTTCTGCTCTATCTGAACCAGAACTAACGTTTCAGGTAAAATAAAAACGTCTTTTCTATTTGATCACTCGAACTTGTGACACTAAATGCTCCACGGTTTAGGGATTTCAATCCCAACAAAAAAATAAAATCAATATTTGCTCATGCTTGCAAAACAAAAACCAGATCAACAAATGGCAGACATTAAGTTTTATCAAATAAATTCTACATTTCTCTCTTTGTTTTGCTTTTACTTGTCTATTTACATAAAATATAAGAGCCTCCATCTTTCTTACCCGGGAAACTCCCTGCAGGTTGAGAGAAAACAGGTGAGGATTCACAGCGATGAAATCTCCATAAAACTCCTGCAGAAAAACACAAACACACACTCAGTAATTTGGTTTTTATTGCTCAAAAACACCATTTTCAGATGTTTACTTTATTCTGTTTTGCACACAGAAATAAAATGATTCCACAAATTTTCCACATGAGAACATGTTAAAAACATTTTGTTTGCACCAAGAAGAAAAACATAAATGGAAGAGAGCTGCTGAGAAACAGATGGTAAGATAAGATTTCACAAGAAAAGATTATCCTTTTCTTATAAACCGTATTAATAAAACCACTCAGGAGTTCATGAAAAAGAAAAATTTAATGTCAAATAGTGCAAAAATAAAAATACATAATCTAATCAAGAAGTGGGACATTTAAGCTGTCATGGCAGAAAATGGAATAAAAGAGAAACAAATGAGAATTTATAAAATAAAAACAATACTGTGTAAAAATATAAATACATCAATATATTTATAAAAAAAATACAGATGTGTATATAAATATACACACACAAGCAAATATATAGATGTTATGAGATTATGACATTAAACATTAAATTATTGCAATTTCTGAAGGCAACTACAGTCCAGAGTTAATCTAGAAAATGTTTATTTCTGAAAAACAATTTCATTTTTAAATATTTTTGGCAAACTACAAACTTGATAGAACATTTATAAAATGTAATTTACAGTCTGTAGCTGCAGCATCTTTCATGTCAGTGGGTAAGATGTAAGTTTACAAACATTAGAGTAAAGCTAACATATTTCAGTTCTCACCTGGACTTCAGCCACAACTTCCTGTTCATCTGCCTCAGCCAGAGCTTTGATCTCACTCCTACTGATCACATTACTGAAGTCTGAAATGACACAAACCTTAAAGGAACAGAAGCTTTGATTTACAGGAAACTAGTAAAACTAGCATCATAGTCAACCTAAACCGTCTCAGTAAAACGTACAGATGAAGTAAACGCTGTACTTTGGTCTTCTGAGCTCCTGGATGAGATGCTGCACGTTCTCCTGCAGCAAAAAGCAAAAACTAATGTTAATCTCCCCTTTTTCATTTAATGTTGCAGTATGCAGCTTTTATTTATTTACATTTTTATTGAAACTGTCATTTTGTCTCCCAGTGCTAACTAGAAACAACTAATAAGAGGGTCTTAGTGCTGTAAATCATGCCCGTGTGCGCGCCACAGATCATCTGTCTTATATTGCACTGTCACAATAACAAATTTTACTGGATGATAAATTGTTCCAGTGGTTATTATGATAAATGATAATATTGTTGTTTTAATACCACTTTCAAGTAATCTAATGCAAAAACTAATCCTCAAAGATCAATGAACTTTAATTTCTAATAAATATTTAACACTGGAACTGGAAGACACTTTAAATATTTATAATAAAAAAACAAAACAAAAAATAAAATGAATTATGAGTCTCTGTAAACAAAATTATCCTTCAAAAAAGGGATAAAGGTGATGAAAACACCAGACTGAAGAATTTTATTATCCAGTTTTTGGTAGAAAGAGAAAAACAATAAATCATACAAATGGAAATTATTGAGTTTGTTTTAAATGATCATTTATTACTTATTATGACAGGTCTAACTGTCATGTCATGAAGGTTTTAACAAAAACATATTATTTATACTGTAACTTTAAAGAGTGTTTGCTCAGATTGGTGGAAACGTCTCCGGTTTGCGTACCTTGGTTGGACGTAGGAAGCAGATGGCCTTCAGGTGCTTCATGCTGTCTCTGCTCTGAGAGTCGATCCGTTCGAACAGGTAAACCTCCTTCTGCAGGATTTCAGACTGGGTGTAAACCACGCTCACGATGCTGGTCTGGAAACACACAAACACGTTTTACTCTGTTGTAGCCAGAATAAACAAGGTGGACACACAAGCGTTGTAATCAGATCACTGAATTAATTGTCAGCTAATTTTTTAATTGATTAATTCTTAATTTGGGAATCCAGAATTAGAAAAAGGCGATTTGCTGAAAACATAGAAAGATATTCAGAGAAGATATTAGGCCAAAACTCTGCAGAAAATAAATACATTTTGCATTCAAGATGAAAATCACCTTTGTCTGTAAATATGTTTGACCCAAAACTAAAATGGCATTTTTTGCTTCACCTTGTTTAAGTTCTGTACATAAAAAAATCTCTTATTAAGCACCTTTTGCTATCAAATTACTAATCAGTCAACATATCAGCACCACTGTACTGATGTTAAGCAGAAAGGGCCCAGCTTCTCACATTAGAGGGGTTTTTTTAATCTAAATTTTCTATAAATAATCAAGCAATCACTAAAAGACTAATATGCTTTTGCATTTTCTGTTTGTTTATGCATGTATAATATAAAAAAAGCTTAAAAATCTGCAGAATGTGTTAATTTTTTTAATTGTCAGAATAATCGATAGAATGATCAAATGATAAAATAATCTTTAGTTGCAGCTGTAATAGCAACAAATATTTTCATATCCCAGTCAAAATCAATCTAAAAACCCTGAACTCACAGAAACAATTGTCTAATTTTGAAGAGAAGCTGAATAAACACACATGCTCAGATTTAGCTCACATAAATCTCTCATAGGATATACTGGAGCATTAGAAACAAGAGAAAATGAGGGAAAGTTCAAAAACAACTCATTTGGGATGTAGAAAAGCATTTCTTAAATTGATTTTGCACAATTCTGAAACAGATTAAAATGAAATCTAGACAGATCAAGGAATCTCAGATAACACTATAATCCTCCACAGCTGAGCTAAAAGCTATATATTGTAAGATACTAACTACACCTCTGACTCAATGTACTCTTTGACATCCAAAATAGCAAAAACATTCACACAGAAACCCAAAAGAGATCAACAGGATCACCACACAGAACCAGAACCGATGCTTCACTGCAGCACAGTAATTCTGCAGGAACGCACAGTAACAACAGACACCGGACTGTTTCAGTGCCCAGAGCTCGGACGGTACCACATCAGGTTCTCACCGTCTCCTTATCCATGAGCAGAACCTTCATCCCGGGCCCGCTGCTCTCGATCATTTTGGAGATGTACTGCTTCACCGCGAGCGTCACGTTCATGATGGCGCCGCTGAGACACAACTGCGACAAAACCAAACAAGCAAAGTCTAAACCAGCGGTAAGATGCCAGCAGCTCCCGTTAGGGAAGCTCCGTATGTCTGCTTTTTTTGTTGTTTTCAAGATCTATCAGCTGAGCCCTTGAGGAAATGCAATCTTCTTCCGGGTTTCTGACGTCATTACGCACTACGTATCTCATTGTCGACAGATACAGCAGCGATGGAAAGTTATTGAACGAAAGTAAGGCAAGACTGTCCTTGGGAAAACTGGTGATAAAAACTGAATTGAATGTAAAAATTATTTTTAAAAAATTATTTTTTATCTATTTTTTATCATTATTTATCTAAATTTTATTTTATATATATTTATTTAGTCAATCAGAATTTGATTTGCTAGTTTTACACCAGACATGTTAAGACTTACATATCCCAGAAGAAGTTTTTGTCTCATCAGCACACAGAGTATTTTTCTTGGGGACCAGATCAAGATATTTTTTGGACATGCTGGTCCTTTCATTGGAACTCTCATGTTGACTAAGGTCAAATTCTGATTGACCTTCATCAATCAGAATTTGATTTTACTCAATCAAATTCTGATTGACTAAGTAAACATATATAAAATAAAATTGAGATAAATAATGATAAAAAGGTTATTTCTAAATAACCTCTGCTATATAGAGTTGTAAGGACTATAGAAGAAAATTGCAGCTAATGTAACAAAGAAATCTCTGGATGTAGTATTTTTATAAAACGTTAGCAATGCTAATTCCTGAAAGCATGCGTGTCCTGGAGGATGCTTTCTATTTCTGAAAGCATAAATGCTTTAACCTTTGTATATTTATAAATAAAACTATTTAACATTGAGTATAATCGGAAAATAGCAAGATATTTTAGTTTATCTGTTCCTCCCTTGCAAGAACCAGACGCCTGCTATTCAGTTAGCATGCATAGCACGCATGAAGCTCTCGCCAACTACTACCGTAAATTGTTGATCTGTAATGCGCTTCATTATTGTTTAATCAATTTTATTGTTTAACGCAATAAGAATAAGGGGATGGCTTAATGTAATACCGTATTTTTTACAATTTTATGAGAAGGTGCATGCTAACCTCTGCTAGCATACATAGCATACATTAAACCTTCATACACATCTTTGAAGGAAAGAACTGAGCAAGAGTTTATTGAATATTCAATACTTTTATATCAATGAGAATATAGTTAGGAGAAAAACGGAACTTTTCAAGCAAATTTTAATTCTTTCAAGAATATTTGGGTTTCTGTAATCCTAGATATGTGTCACTCCGCCTCGTCTGAACGTAGTACCTGCCAATAAATAAACAGCAGTTAAAGCGCAGATGGCGGAAGGATACGGCTGCGCTCTCACAACACAACCAGCCTCAAACGTGTTCTTGGTGCTAATTGCTAACAGCAGAAATTCTCAATAGTTCATATATTCAGTCTTCATTTTTTAAAATACAGACGTTTAGTGGTTTCAATTTTAATGGAATAAACAAATAGTTATCATACTAAAAGCGAAGAGAAGGTAAGTGCGCGCGAAACACTCTTGTCAAACGTAGATCACAGAGTTTATGAAGTGAAAGTCTTAGCTGTTCGGCTAGCTTTTAGCTTCGTTAGCTCAACCCCGAACTGGCTCAGGAAGGTGGGGGCGAGATCCTGCGTGCAGGGAGAGTCCTGCGTGTTTGCTGCAAAACACAACATTGCCAGTGATTTTCAAAACCGCACGTCAGGATTATTAGACTGAAAGTAAGTGTAAAGTCATTCACTTTAGCAGTTAGCACGCTTTATGGTTGTTAATGTTGCGGTAGAGTCTTTTGTACTGTTTTTGAACGGTACAGTAGTCGGTTAGCTCATCTAGCTAATTGAAAAGCTAAGTCTTAAAGCGGTAGTACACCAGTACAACATTCAGTTACAATAATTTTAAACAGCATTATATGCGATCATTTAATAGAGTATGCAAATTTAATTGAACGACAAAAAGTTACAAATCTAATTCATGGACTACAGTGTTTGAAGTAGCATTTGTAGCATGGAGCTAACACACCGAACCGCTTGGACTGTAGGTGTGAAATTCATTTTTATGGTTTATAGTTGAAGTGAAAATTACTGAAGTTTGGCGATTCACTAGTTGAATATTACACATAGTATCTGTTTTGGTTCTGATCACTCTCATATTCCTTTTTCCTCCTCACCATGTTAACGTGTAATTTGGTTAAGATTTGATTTATACTGTATTTTTATTTTTTGTTTTGATTTCAAATAACAGAATTATGTAGCTGACATAATCTTTTTTTTTTTTTTTTACTGCTGACTAATAAACAAACAGGCTGGACAATTATTTAGAATTTTAAAAAGTGTATAGAAATCCTAAATAAAACAAAGATTTCAGATTTTGTCTCTTTGTTATTAAATATATTTATACTTTTTTGACTCAGATTGTTTTAGACACTGCAGTTTTACGGCGCTCTGTTGGTGCTGTTTGACATCTGATAACTTTTAATGCTTTTAGACTATTCAGGGTGTTGTGCAAATGTCTCTGCAGTAAATAATTTTATTTGCTTACAGCTATTATAAATTAAAAATGATCAAGACAATAGATAAAAATATTATCAAAAGAACTTTCTCACAGTAAATGATAAACAATATGATAAATGCCCACCCAAACATCAAACTCTTCATGTATTATTATTCTTAAGCAGAACCTTAATTCATGTCACCTGAAAAATAAGTTGTAAGAAAATATTTCATCAGATCAGTTCTTTCTAATTGTGTTGCTGCATAAACTGGAACTGCACAGACAATTGGATTATCATATGATTTTTTAAATTTTGGCACTGTGACACTAATTTCCTGTACTGTTTAATCTGTTGTGGTCACAAGTGAACTGTTTGATGAGTTTACATGTCGGATAATGTTATAGCAGCTGGTCACATTTTCAACTTTATTAAGAAAATGGATGTTCGTATATAAAGTTTGTTCACTTAAAAGAAAGCGGAATAAAGAAACTTAAAATTGCTAATCTGACATTTTTGAACTACACTTCAACCCTCCTAATAATGGTGTCTTACTAATTTAGACGAATTAAAAGGTTAAATTAGTTCTTCAGTTGTCACAGAGTTCTGCAAATAATCCATCTATATTGGTTGTGTTAAATCAGGGAAACAAATAAAACTTGCCGGATTGGATTGCTGCTTTGTTTAATCTATTTATACCTTTTATGTTGTCTTTAGCATATAAAAAAAAAACAGAACATTAAATAATTTAATTTGTACATTTGGAGATTTCTGAGCTGCCTGATATTTCAGTATTTTACACAGGTGGTATTTATTTTGCCTGGAACCTAAATTAAAAGTTGTGGGTGTTGTTTTGTTTGCAGGTGAGAAGAGGAAGATGATGGAGGTGGAGACTGCGGCAGGAAGTGATGACGATCATCTGATGAAGTCTGAGGACCGACTGGAAAACTTCTCTGCACTGAAGCTTAAAGAAAAGAAGGAGCAAATGGATAAAGGTCAGAGTTCAGAGAGTCATCATAAAACAATACATTGTTCAAAATTGCTAACAGTTCAAAATTGCTAACAGTGACACCAAAAATTGTAGGACTGGATGGAGAGTTAGCTTTTTTTCTAGGAATTGTAAAACTTGTGGTGCAGAAAATATATTGTTAATCTTTCATAAATCTGGTCTCGTTTGCAGCAGCGTGTGTTTCATCCACTGCAGCGAATCATGAGTGGGAGAAAATCCCTGAACCAGTGAGGATCATCCACATCCCAGCCCAACCAGACACCATAACCTCCACTCCCATCAAGACCGTGAAGGTAATCAGATATTTGCATTATTACGTCACTGACGCCAACTCCATGTCGAACTGTTGTTCGGTTGTAAGTTGCTGTAATGACCCGGTTTCATGTCTTCAGCCTGCAGGATCGACTTTGGGCTTCACGGTCAACGGTCAGCCGATCCACCTGCCGCCAAGAGGTCAGTCTGACCGGGTCACACCGGTTCAGGGTTTTACATTATTCCATTACAGATAAGTTTCATTTCATTTTGACTATTTGTTTGTCTTGTGCAATTAGTTTTATTTAGTCTTTAAGAGTGTGTTTCCTAGTTTTTATTAGTTAAATATTTTTTAGTACAGTTTGTGTAAGTTTTAGTTGCAGTTTAACTTTTTTATAGTGTGGTCAAATTTTTTGCTGCAGAATTAAAAAGTTATGATTATGCACGCATTGATTTGGATAAAATGTTCCCTGACCTACTTTTTTTTGTTTTGGCACATCATTGACTTTTAAATATAGAACTATACAAATTAACGGTTCATTCACATCAGCCTTGTTTAGTACACTTTAATTAAACTCTAATTTGTTTATCTTGAAAGTTTGAAAAAAGTGAACCCAGACCCATTGAATGAATTAATTATTTTCATGAAATCAAATAAGCATTTTATTTCCTGAAATGCAACAACAGAGCATCCCTTCAGTGAACACTTGATTAATTGTAGCTAAGGATGTATCTGCAGCTAAAAAGACATCTAACAACAACATATGAAAAGCTCTGTCTTCAAAAACAAAAAGAGGACTACAACACAAGGAATTCTGGGTAAATGCAACCAAAAGAAACACTCAAATCTAGTGTTACCAGGAGAAATGGCTCGTGGTCTTTTACCAAAAAGAAAAGAGAAATCCTACAACCACTAAAATCTGACGCTCCTTGATTGTTTTTGTTTACATTTTGTGAAGAAGGAAGTTGCGCTCATGTCTTCTTCTGAGGTTTTCATGTCAATTCCTTTCTGATTTCCTTTCAATCAGAATTTAAAGTTTATTGGCAGCGCCCCCACAGGCGAGGAGGGGAACAGGTTAATCAATATGTTTGGTTTGTTTGACGTACTGCAGCCGCTGAAAACGTAACAAATGTTGACATTTTGATCTGCAATCGAACCAAATCCACCAGACTAGCAGAAAATAGTAGTTCAGCTCAGCTCCTTCATTCACTAAAACTTTTCTGTCTGTCCTGCAGGTGGCGGTGCAGAGCTGAAGCTTCACTCTCACCCTGGAGGCTCAGCCAGCGGCTTCACTTCGATCCAGATCCCCGTCACTCTGACCCTCAGCAGTCCTCAGGGGACTCGCTACATTTCCACTTCAGCCTCCCTG